TGGGAGGTGTCCGAGCAGGTTGTTATATTGTGGGAGGAGTCCGAGCAGGTTCTTATATTGTGGGAGGTGTCCGAGCAGGTTGTTATATTGTGGGAGGGGTCCGAGCAGGTTGTTATATTGTGGGAGGTGTCCGAGCAGGTTGTTATATTGTGGGAGGAGTCCGAGCAGGTTGTTATATTGTGGGAGGAGTCCGAGCAGGTTCTTATATTGTGGGAGGTGTCCGAGCAGGTTGTTATATTGTGGGAGGGGTCCGAGCAGGTTGTTATATTGTGGGAGGTGTCCGAGCAGGTTGTTATATTGTGGGAGGTGTCCGAGCAGGTTGTTATATTGTGGGAGGAGTCCGAGCAGGTTGTTATATTGTGGGAGGTGTCCGAGCAGGTTCTTATATTGTGGGAGGTGTCCGAGCAGGTTGTTATATTGTGGGAGGTGTCCGAGCAGGTTCTTATATTGTGGGAGGTGTCCGAGCAGGTTCTTATATTGTGGGAGGAGTCCGAGCAGGTTGTTATATTGTGGGAGGTGTCCGAGCAGGTTCTTATATTGTGGGAGGTGTCCGAGCAGGTTCTTATATTGTGGGAGGGGTCCGAGCAGGTTCTTATATTGTGGGAGGTGTCCGAGCAGGTTCTTATATTGTGGGAGGGGTCCGAGCAGGTTCTTATATTGTGGGAGGGGTCCGAGCAGGTTCTTATATTGTGGGAGGAGTCCGAGCAGGTTGTTATATTGTGGGAGGTGTCCGAGCAGGTTGTTATATTGTGGGAGGGGTCCGAGCAGGTTCTTATATTGTGGGAGGGGTCCGAGCAGGTTCTTATATTGTGGGAGGGGTCCGAGCAGGTTCTTATATTGTGGGAGGTGTCCGAGCAGGTTCTTATATTGTGGGAGGGGTCCGAGCAGGTTTGTGGGAGGTGTCCGAGCAGGTTCTTATATTTGTCCGAGCAGGTTCTTATATTGTGGGAGGGGTCCGAGCAGGTTCTTATATTGTGGGAGGGGTCAGAGCAGGTTCTTATATTGTGGGAGGTGTCCGAGCAGGTTCTTATATTGTGGGAGGGGTCCGAGCAGGTTCTTATATTGTGGGAGGAGTCCGAGCAGGTTCTTATATTGTGGGAGGGGTCCGAGCAGGTTCTTATATTGTGGGAGGGGTCCGAGCAGGTTCTTATATTGTGGGAGGGGTCCGAGCAGGTTGTTATATTGTGGGAGGGGTCAGAGCAGGTTGTTATATTGTGGGAGGGGTCCGAGCAGGTTGTTATATTGTGGGAGGAGTCCGAGCAGGTTGTTATATTGTGGGAGGAGTCCGAGCAGGTTGTTATATTGTGGGAGGAGTCCGAGCAGGTTGTTATATTGTGGGAGGGGTCCGAGCAGGTTCTTATATTGTGGGAGGTGTCCGAGCAGGTTCTTATATTGTGGGAGGAGTCCTAGCAGGTTCTGCGTGTCAGGGGAAGAGGGTAGGAGGGGGGGGGGACTGCAAGCTCCACATGCTTGCAGTTATCGGTCAGTGCTTTAAAGTAAACAAACCCGTTTAAACTCTACTTGTTACTGCTCTTATTGCGACAAGTGCATGTACCTGTAGACTAATTATGGTCTACTCATTTTGGTGCTCATATCATGGTAATTGTAAACACTAGCGAAGCTTTTCCTTTGAAAGTGTAATAGTATGAAGGATCATAGGATGGTAGCCTGGTTGCATGTATCTGTGGACATGTTCATTGTGTGGAGAGAGAAGGCTAGGCCACACCCTGCCAGCCACACCCACCGTGGTTGTGAGAGGATGGTGGTAGGGTCGTGAGTGTGGTCCATGGACGACTACCTGTGCGGTGTCTGAAGGTGCTCATGGCCGCCACTGTCGGCTGGATATCGCCCAGGGGTCGTACTCACACCACCCACAAGGTGTTGTTTAAGATTCAGCTACTGAGAACAAAGCGTTCCAAGTAGCCCGGGCTATGGTGAGCCCGTAGTGGACTTGCCCCGCTCCTGTGCCAGGTAAGTAGCACGGGCTATAGTGAGCCCGTAGTGGGCTTACCTGACACAGAAGCGGGGCAAGTAGCACGGGCTATAGTGAGCCCGTAGTGGACTTGCCTGGCACAGAAGCGGGGCAAGTAGCACGGGCTATAGTGAGCCCGTAGTGGGCTTACCTGACACAGGAGCGGGGCAAGTAGCACGGGCTATAGTGAGCCCGTAGTGGACTTGCCTGGCACAGAAGCGGGGCAAGTAGCACGGGCTATGGTGAGCCCGTAGTGGGCTTACCTGACACAGGAGCGGGGCAAGTAGCACGGGCTATGGTGAGCCCGTAGTGGACTTACCTGGCACAGGAGCGGGGCAAGTAGCACGGGCTATAGTGAGCCCGCAGTGGGCTTACCTGGCATAGGAGCGGGGCAAGTAGCACGGGCTATGGTGAGCCCGTAGTGGGCTTACCTGGCATAGGAGCGGGGCAAGTAGCACGGGCTATGGTGAGCCCGTAGTGGGCTTACCTGGCATAGGAGCGGGGCAAGTAGCACGGGCTATAGTGAGCCCGTAGTGGGCTTACCTGACACAGGAGCGGGGCAAGTAGCACGGGCTATAGTGAGCCCGCAGTGGACTTACCTGACACAGGAGCGGGGCAAGTAGCACGGGCTATGGTGAGCCCGTAGTGGACTTACCTGACACAGGAGCGGGGCAAGTAGCACGGGCTATGGTGAGCCCGTAGTGGGCTTACCTGGCATAGGAGCGGGGCAAGTAGCACGGGCTATGGTGAGCCCGTAGTGGGCTTACCTGGCATAGGAGCGGGGCAAGTAGCACGGGCTATGGTGAGCCCGTAGTGGGCTTACCTGGCATAGGAGCGGGGCAAGTAGCACGGGCTATGGTGAGCCCGTAGTGGGCTTACCTGGCATAGGAGTGGGGCAAGTAGCACGGGCTATGGTGAGCCCGTAGTGGGCTTACCTGGCATAGGAGCGGGGCAAGTAGCACGGGCTATGGTGAGCCCGTAGTGGGCTTACCTGGCATAGGAGCGGGGCAAGTAGCACGGGCTATGGTGAGCCCGTAGTGGACTTACCTGGCACAGGAGCGGGGCAAGTAGCACGGGCTATGGTGAGCCCGTAGTGGGCTTACCTGGCACAGGAGCGGGGCAAGTAGCACGGGCTATGGTGAGCCCGTAGTGGGCTTACCTGGCATAGGAGCGGGGCTGTAACTAGCCACTCACAAGAGTAGCCTATTGTATATATCGAACACTACCTGTATTTTTACCCCACCGTTTTGTCTTGTGCACTTGTTCTTTCTCTTAGTATCTTTCATTGTCTTTGTGAACTAAATCATCCCTTAATAACTTAGTTTCTAGTCAAGATGTATCACTCTTGCTCCTATGAAGTCATGACCACGTAAATATAGTAAAGATGAAAATTTAAATTCACGCGAGAAATAAAAACATTAAAATAATCAAATCCACAGAAGCCGTGATGAGGGTTCGAACCTATGTACTTTGTGTTCTCAGATGCACGCTCTAGTCGACTGTACCAAGACATGGTCAAAAGAATTGCAACCTGGGGTACTACAGCACCCACTAGGATACCCGAGGCTTACCCTGGTTCAGCTTCAGGACATCACACAATCCCCCCCCCCCCTATGTACTTTTGCAATGTCGTCAGTACTTCTACCTCTGATGCCCCTCTTTCAGTACACTGGAATATCACATTATCGTGATATCAATGAACAAATCCACATCATCCACATCGCAAAGGTTCGAACCCTCATCACGGCTCTTGAGGATTTGTTCATTGATGTATCACAATAATGGGAGTTCTTTATTAAAATGATCTTGACTATTACCATAATTGGTTATAATTGTAGCTGCCCAGTGAAGCAGAGACCAGCAGCTTGTACAAGTATTACCAACGATTTCCAGGGAAACTGGACCCTGACATGACAAGTTCGTGACCTGGTTGTGACACGTCTTGACCTGAGATAGCGAGTGACCTGATTGTGATGTGACCTTAAGACAGTGTGGGTGAATTTTACAAAAGTTGCGACACTCGTTCAGGCCCTCTACTGTGGACCTGGTGCCTAGTGCCTGCCTCAAAGGTCAACACTCTCACACCCGCTCTCAGGGCCTGGCCGGGGGGGACGTCCCCTGTACTACCCCTGTACTACCGGCTCCCGGTAGTACAGTCGGGCTCGTTCTCGACTCGCATTCGGAAATTCCTGGTTCGAATCTCCCGCGGGACAGAAATGGTTGGGCACATTTTCTGTCATCTAATGTTTCTGTTCACCTAGCAGTAAGTAGGTACTCGGTCAGCATGTTGTAGGGTTGCATCCTTGCCGGGGTCAGTAATTGTCAACCCATGTCTGTTTTTTTTAAACAACGCTGTTTGTCGACCTAATTGTATTTGTGCTGCTTTTTCAGCCATGTTCCACCCTTTTTTATTTTTATTTGTTCCCAACACATTTTATTCTTTATACTCAAGTAGTATTAAGTTTTAGTCATTAATGTTTTTCCTGCCCGAAACGCTTTGCGTAATAGTGGCTTTAGGCATTGTATGTACTAGCTCTATCTGTAAATCGATCAATTTTTGTAAAATCTCTTGTATGTATGTACCTTACCTGAATAAACATTTATTTATTTATTTATAATTCAACCTTAGATGGGGGGGGGGAGGACCTCTAAATAAGCCTAACGTGTATGCACACTGGCGGCTGCCTGTCCCCCGACACAAAAATAATATTTTTCCCTGCTTGACGCCATTTGATAATTACATACTAGGGACGGGAGGTTGTTGGGGCGACAGGACGCCTTAACTTCACGACACACGTATCTTCACTACGGGCTCACCATAGCCCGTGCTACTTGAAACTTTTTGTTCCAAGTAGCAAATCTTAAACAGCAACAACAACGTATCTTGATCACTCACACCCTGCAAAAGTTTGGCCAGGCAAGTCCCAAGTCTCTGCACGGCCTCCATTCTCGGACAAATATGTTACCTACTAAATATCTGTATATATGTGTGTATTTCTCACATGGTAATGAGTGTTGTGGGTCTCAGGTGCGACTCTGCGATGAATGTGAGCGCGGGCAGCTCGTGGGCGACGCTGGTGCTGGCTGTGTGTGTCCTGTGTGGCGAGGCCAAGGACGGCTCCTCCAGGACCCGCGACGTCCAAGACAACGACCTCGACTCCTCCGACGAGTACCTCAAGGTCGGCAGGTCGCTCAACCTCCTCCCCAGATACGGCTTCCTCACGCTTTCCATAAAGGTTAGAGCACTCTGGCTATGTGTAGTCGCCTAGTTGTGCTTGCGGGAGTTGAGCTTTAGCGCTTTGGTCCCGCCTCTCAACTGGTGTATAGGTTCCTGAGCCTACTGGGCTCAATCATTTCTACTGTGTATGGAGTCAGCCTCCACCACATTACTTCTTAATGCATTCCATTTGTCAACCACTCTGACACTAAAAAATTCTTTCTAATATCTCTGTGGCTCATTTGGGCACTCAGTTTCCACCTGTGTCCCCTAGTACATGTGCCTCTTGTATTAAATAGCCTGTCTTTATCTACCCTATTAATTCCTTTGAGAATCTTCTATGTGTGTGTGTGTGTGTGTGTGTGTGTGTGTGTGTGTGTGTGTGTGTGTGTGTGTGTGTGTGTGTGTGTGTGTGTGTGTGTGCGCGCGCCTCCTAAATTGGTCTGTCAAGTGTACAAATATGTGAAACGGATCGACAAGATATAAATAGGGCGCAGAAAATACAAATGAAAGTTGGAATACAAAATAATTTATTATGGCTGAATATATTAATAAAATAAATGTGAACATACTGGTTCTGAAATAGATGCAGGTACCAATCCTACGGGACAAGTTACCAATTGACATCATTTATACAAACTTGCTAGAAAGTTTCAGGCATTCATTAGCTCGATAGCCAATGATTGGGAATATTATGTCACTAGGGGTCGCTTTGCATTGACCTTGTCTTTTATAGACGTCTTAATTCTTATATACTACTAGTTCATTCGTGTTTTTCAATCTATAGTCCTGTTATGTCAAATAGTCACTTTACCTGAGTATTCTGTACTTGGTTGTCACATCTACCTTCCAGTGATGTGATATGTTAGCTAATCACAGGCATTATTCCTTGAGGGGGGTTATATTAGGTAGTCACAAGTTATATTAATTGGGGGATACTAAACAGCTACACAGCTAGTTTTGACAAAAAATATTCCATGTGGATGATGATCGCAGCCACTAACACCAGTGATAGGTGATATTCTAAGACTAGAACACTAAAAGTAGTTGTATAATAAATAAAATCGTCTTTATTATGCTATGGTTTCATCAGCCTACCGTCTTGGAGCTCTTCATCATTCGTAATATATTTGTCAGGTGTTCCCACACCGGTCAGACAACAGCTGGCTCTTCCGGGAGAAGACAGCAGAAGTATTTCAGAAGAACTCGTACTGGGCCACCCAGACTCACCAGGCTCCTGCAGAGACTGACCACCGCGGCTACGACCAGCACTTCCTCATCGACTTCTGCGATGATGCCAGAGATCTCCTCACTGCTTACTTTGATAACTTCTACGTCGAAGGCGTTCCGGAGCCCCACAGAGTCTTCACCAGCTCTATTTCTGCCAAGACTAATGCACAGCACTTGGGTATCAACCCGACTTTCCTGTCTTCAGAGTATTCTTTCGTGCTGGTGCGTCTCTTCCGCAAGACCAGACGGGCAACCCTAGACGGTGAGACGGCTCATGCCTATACAATTAACATTAATATGTTTTAAAAATGAAGGTAACAGTCCATGTCTGTGTTGGTACTTACCAGACAGCTCCATCCATCCTTGCCAGCAAGACCTGGTGCCATCACCTCCCGTTAATATAATTGGTTATAATGACCAGTACACGGCTTGCTTTTTTTTGTTCCCTTTCACTTGTTCACTTCACCGTTACTCTTCTCTTGTTGACATCCTTACTATCTTCTTCCCCCCCCCCCTCCTCTTCCACCTGTACTCCGTAACCCTCTCCCATCCCAACCTTCATCTGTTCCCTATACCTGCTTGATGTAGTTCTGAGAGTTCTACTCCCCAAGCCCGGCCCGAGGCCAGGCTTGACAGACAGGTTGTAACTTTTCCCCCTCCATAATATGTTAACCCTAACCCTTTACCACATCCCCCACCTTAACTTTTTACCGCACCCTCATCTCGACCTGTTAACCCTTAACCTCTACCATACCCTCCTCGCTTCAACATGTTCCCTTTTAACCCTCTTTTTAACCTTCCCCCTAACTTGCACCACAGTACAAATACTTAATTTGTACAGTGGTGAAAGTACCGATGATGCCATTATTAGTCTGCTTGATTTTAATCTACACATACCTTGACAAAAATGAGTTCTCAATTTGCCTCTTCATTGACCTGAGAAAGGCCTTTGATACTGTTAACCATAACTACCTCTTACTTAAACTTCACCATTATGGAATCCGAGGCCTTGCTCAGAACTAGATTCGTTCCAATCTCAGTGACAGACACAAATGTGTAGCCATCAATAACATAACCTCCCCACTCAACTATTAACATTAGGAGTGCCACAGGGCATTATCTTAGGACCTCTCCTATTTCTTGTATACATCAATGATTTGCCAAATGTTTCTAACATTCTTAAACTTATACTATTTGCTGACGATACTACCTTCATCTATTCTGACCCCAAATAAAATAATCACACTAAATAATATTGTAAATAATGAATAAAAAAAAAAAAGTCCACTCATGGATATCAACCAACAAAGTTCTTGGCCTATACTTAGACAAGAGACTGAACTTCAGCTCCCACATACAACACAACCAAAAAGTCTCAAAAATGGTCGGTATACTTTCTAAATTAGAATCAGATAGTATGTTCTCCACTGCTTTCCTGTTATTATACTACGTGCTAATCTATCCCTATCTAAATCTATCTAATCTATAGGGAGCCGGTCGGCCGAGCGGACAGCACGCTGGACTTGTGATCCTGTGGTCCTGGGTTCGATCCCAGGCGCCGGCGAGAAACAATGGGCAGAGTTTCTTTCACCCTATGCCCCTGTTACCTAGCAGTAAAATAGGTACCTGGGTGTTAGTCAGCTGTCACGGGCTGCTTCCTAGGGGTGGAGGCCTGGTCGAGGACCGGGCCGCGGGGACACTAAAGCCCCGAAATCATCTCAAGATAACCTCAAGATAAGATCCCTATCCTACATACTGTATGGTATCTGTGCATGGGGTTCAACCACTGCAAATTATCTCAAGTTCATCATCAATCTGTTATCAGAACTATAACAAATTCTTTTCTTGTCTTAACTTGTCTTCAGACAACACAGTCCCTCTATTTAACTCCCTTAACATGCTCACTCCACACATTCTCGTATGCTATTTACATGTACAAAACCTTGTTCCTAAAATGCTAATCCTGATCTGAAACGTTTCCCCGATAGGTGTAATAGAACCCATGAGCACCACACCAGAAATAAATATCCGATATCCCAAGAGTTAAACTAAATCTGTGCAAATGCTCCATACAAATAAAGGGACCCATTCTATGGAACACTCTCCATAATGAATTAAAAAAATTGTTCAACATATGCCTTATTCAAAAGCAAAACCAAAAAGTACCTAATTTCATCCTCAGTTTGAAGCACAAGGTAGGAAACTATCTTGCTACCCACTTCCCAATATTAGTACTTTAGACATGTATCATCACCAGTGTAATCACCTCTGTCAACTTATATTGTAGTTATATGTTGATATAAAAATTTACTACAATGTACCTTTTCATCTTACCTGATATGTTAGATTAAGGACCTGTCAGAAATGCTGTGTTGGTGACTTTGCAAGAATGTAAAAATACCAATCTTATGTAATCTCACAAACCCATTGTACCTTGTAAATAAAAATTATTATTATTATTGAAGACTAAAAAATGTCACAATTTTATTATATTGTTTTATGGTATTAAGTGCCTCCATACACAGTAATATTTACTCATAACCCTGACAATAGGTCAACTCACACTGACGAGCCACTTCAAGAGTTCCGTGGGTGACATTAGGATAGGATCATCGGAGTCGGTAAATCAGTTCCTGGACCACTATGGCACTCACGTTATTACAGAATACGAAGTGGGTGATGTTATGTATCAAGTTTACGTCTTTGGAGAGAGAACGTATACAGAACTGAAGAACAATTTTGCCATGAGTCAAACGTAAGTAGATTTCATAATCCTGAGTAAATATAACTGTTATTGTTAATCTTTAGCTTTATTCTGCCTGTTAGGCCTCAGTTGGATTATGTAGTTAAATTTTGATCACCGTACTATAGGATGGACGTTAGTTCACTTCACTGTTTACATAAAAGTATGACGGTTAATTGCAGTACTGTAATTAGTAACATCTTATGAAGTTTAAGAAAGCTTTATTTAAATTGTCCAAGAGAGTCAGATTAAGGGGGGTGACATGTTGACCGAACCACACCTAGGCAATAAAACGACGACAACGTTTCAGTCCGTCCTGGACCACAATCAAGTCGATTGTGATGAGACATGGGAGACATGGGCATAAGTAAGGCAAGAGAGAGGTGAGGAGGAGAAAACCTTAGAGGAGGGTAAGAGCATGGCACAAGGTACGGAAGGGATAGGTAAAATAAAGTGTGTAAGGGGATAATAAGGGAACAAGGGGGTGACATGATTGATGTATACAAGTGGATGAAAGGGAACAGTCCAGACTGGAGTCACATTGCCATATGGAATGATCATTCAGAAGGCCTAAGTCTGGGGCAGAGCTGACAAGGGGTCCCACTTTGGCACAGATGACGATACAAAGGATGGAAGGAGAACGTGAGTAGTCTCGTCTCTACTGTAGAAGTTTCACTATCATGACGAGGGTAGGTAATCGGTTATTAGTACTGGGAGGTATTCAGAAGGCTACCTTGTGGCATTTGGGTTCATAATAATAATAATGTCAACATGCTATCCTGTTATTGTGATACTCATGTAAGTAATAAACTAATTTTTTCAACCATCCTGTTTAGATAGTACTTTTTGTAACTGTGGCACATGTACTTACATAGACGTAATGGACAATTAGTAGAATTTGGTACTATTCACTTTATAAGTGAAAAATAAAGTTAATAACCAAACTTCCATATTCCTAGGCCTAGCATAGCCACACAAGTACTTTTATTAGGCATCAGATAGGCCTAAAAAGGTTTGGCTAGGGTTAAGTTTTCTTTGCAGCATCAGGGCAAAACTATTTTGGTTTGTCCAAATTCAGTAGTGCCTATTTCTACTTTCTAATTGACTGTTATGTCAATGTATGTACGATGGTGCTCATCGTTACTACAAGTTCAGTACAGTACTATCTAAACTGAAGGATGGGCTGAATTTTTGTATGTAAACTTTCCCAATTATAAATGTGCAACCAAATTTTGACTAAAGGTTTTGATTTGAAAGGACATGTATGAATGCATACACTGAGAGTTTATTTGCGCCTAAAGAGGAAATATCCATTAAAATGCTTGTTAGTGCCCACAAGACTTTGACTAAGCCAGATGAATCATTGGAGTTAATACTCTTAAGCCTGGCATGACACGGATAAACAGATATAGCATTAGATAAATACTTTACATTATACCCAAGTTTTGCTTGAATCTAATGCTCTATTGCTATTTGAATTCCTTTTCATAGTTTGTGCATTAAAAACCTCACATTGTACTAAGAGTATAACATATACAATTGCCTACTACAGTGGTTGACCTACTTATTAAATTCAGTATTTCTTGTCCATCAACAGGAGCCAGACTGAACTCACTCGGATGGAACGTTATTTCACACCTTACTATGCCCTACATGTTGGTAAGGTGAAGCTGGCATCAGGTATGTAATTCTATTATTTTCCCCCTCTCCCTTCCATAAAATTCCAAACAACCAATCTTCATACATGTAGGTCCAACTGACACATACAAAAGTGATGAGCATACACATACATACATATACACATGCTAATCTATCCCTATCTTACATACGGTATGGTATCTGTGTATGGGGTTCAACCACTGCAAATTACCTCTAGTTCATCATCCCTCAGCAAAAATCTGTTATCAGAACTATAAACTCTGTCTTCAGACAACACAGTCCATGTGACTACATAGAGAATTTCATACAATGCATTTTATACAAGTGGTTATATGTAATACTCTAATGTAATGAGAAATGGAAATTTGTGCAGATTGTTTTAAAATGCTTCTTAATTTCTTGATGCAGGTAGCCCACAATTTAAGATCATCAGTGACCAGCTGCTGTCTGTGACATTTTTCCGCCTGTACCAGAGCATCTTTTCCATATTCAAAGACCAGGAGCTGGAGAAGAAACTGGAAGAATTAGATGGTGAAGTGGTCTTGAGCTTAAAGCTGGAGAAAATCACTAAAATTGTTCCAAAGTCTCCGGAACGTCACTGGCTTGGCGAAGTGCTGGACAACACGCTCTCTCTCTACTATGTTACCATGTAAACTTTACACACTTGCATGTAAGACTAATAGGGTTCCACAACAATAAAGAAAAGTGCTGATGGAAAATAAGTGAAATTAGTAAAAGTTCTGAAGTTGGTCCAATCGCCCAGATCATTAAGAATTGTATTGTCAATACAGAGAGAACTTCAATCATGCCAACAGTATTTGTAACCCTAGAAGTTTTCTGAACAAGGCAGTCTGCCAATAATGTTAAAACCAGAAGACTTTCCCTTCACTTCAGTTGTTTAGGGGGAAGAAACTAGACTGATATCTCAGGAAAATTTGCGGACATTTTACGTGAAGACATCTTGGTGCTCTCTTCATGTTATATATCTCATATAATATGGATGCAAAGAATATATTTATGGAAAGAATTAAATGGAAGTTTGTAAGATCAAATGAGTATATTGTTATATACTGTACTCTTAAGTACAAAACATTTAAATATTGTATACTAACAATATAAATTTGTAACAAATTATATATACTAAATCTTGTGAGATTATAAACAGGTGTAAAGTTTGATCAAACTGTGATATTTCACATTAATTTACTAGTAACCCATCTCTTTTATTGGGTTGCAAGGCACCGGATTAAGGTAAAACTAAACCATGGATATGGTTGACTCTTCCCCCAGGTTGGGGGTAGGGGGAGAGGGTCCCCCTTCCCCCAGGTTGGGGGGGGGGGAGGGAGTCCCCCTTCCCTTTGGGGATTTTTTTTATATCCTTTTTAGTGGTTTGCCTCCCCTCCTCCGAGGTGTCTTACTGTCTAGTAATACACCGCAGGAACTGTGCTGTCTTATGGACTCTTAATACCAAGATTATAAAAGAGAAAGTAGATTTAATTGTTTAATATACAAATATAAATCATTTATAATCAACCCCTACATATTTGATGGCATTTATACCACTAGGCAAATAATTTGATATCTAGTTTTCTCATGAAATGTTCATTACTTACAGATGCATTATGAAAAACATAGTTTTATGTCTTAATGAAAATTATACAATAGAATATTTATTTCATTATCATGTCTAAGCCAAAGTGCCTATGTCAAAACAATAGATATTTTTATAATACCGAAATAATTTAAATTTACTGTAAACACTCGAAAAGTCAACTTGCTTAAAAACCCACGTTATTGATACATACTGAAGTTTTTCCACTATGCAATAATTTAATAAAATGTGGTTAATAATTCACAGCCAATCTTTCACTTTCCTGAACCCTGGCTAGTCACTGCTCGTCGTCGTGCACACCGTACGCGTCATTTCACCTCTTCATCTTGGTCTTCTTTTTAATAATCTTGGGTAAGCCTTCAAGACCACTGTCAAATTCAGACATGCTAGCAGTTTTAGGCAGCTTTCCACATCTTTGGTTCATCACTCGAATTTTCCTGTGAAAAAGGCACAAGAATAAATCATTTTTTTATTTTCTGTATTTATCATTGTAGGTTGCAATGTGTACATTTGAATATTATCTTCCGCCACACCAGTGGGAATTGTATCGGAGTGAGAATTATTATATAAAACTGATCATTTAAGTTTAATTTCCACTATTAAAATTGGAGTACAGTACTAGGAACTCGACCATTGATCCATTTGCTACCATTTCTTTTGGACATTAGCCTACTTCTGTTGCAAATAAAGTATTGTGCTTAACAAAATCCTGTAAATATAAAAACTACTACAAAACCAACCAGTGTTCTTGCCGTGAACACAGCTGACATGTAAAAAAAAACCTATGTAGAAAACCAGCCTTTTGTCATAATGTGACAAGAGTCCAATTAGGATGCTTTTACTGCAAATAAGGATCAAGCATTGTTCACTAGCTCTGAAAAGCATGCAATTCAAGTTCTTTAATTTCCAGTAAAACTAATCAACTGGACACTTGTATTCCAAGCACACAAATACACACACATTTAGGATGGGTTTCCATAAACAGAGATGTACAGGACATGAAAAACTTGCAGCAACAGGAAATAGCTACCTAGTTGTAAATTAAATAGATCCAATCTATTGGAAAGTAATTGAATACAATCTTGCCAAGACTGATATGATCTCAAATACAAGAGCAACTTGGTCATTCATTAAGAGTAAAAGCAAGCATACACTTCTTACCTTCTCTTCTCTTTCCTCTCTCTCCTTTCTTTCATTTCTCTCTTTGCCCTGAATGCTGCCGAGGCACCAAGAGCAGCTGGAGTGTCTCGTAATCCCATACTCTTGGCATAATGGCCAAGGTGTAAAGCCTTAAAGCTAAACATCTCCCTCACCTCCTTCGGGTACGAAGCATACGATCGAACAAATGAGACATATGCTGAAAGGAAAACACATTACATAAAGCTACATTCTTATTTTAATCCGGGGCAACAACAAATGTGTAAATGATAAATATTTATACAATATTGAATGGCTAATATATTTAGAGACTAATGTAATATAATATAGCAGTCACAGTTTTAACAGAAACAAAGGGTTCCACTTGAACAGGCTCTGAATTAACAGGTACATCAGCATGCAGAAACCAAAGTTTGATTATAACAGTTTAAGGATAAAATGTATAGCTTTGCACCTGAAGCATATAATGTACTAGCATGCCTTTGCTTTACTATAAAAGAATATGCATTACTATCTAATCAAACATACATCTTAGAATTAAACACTCAGCTTACCTTTCTTGGCCATTTCATGAAGATCACGATCAGACAGCAACAACTTTTCCACTTTCATTTGCAGGCCAGTAGCTGCCTCCTCAACTGTATGAGCAACTGGCTGAGAGAGAAAAGAAAGTTACTAAATTTTCTCTTTGGTAGGTCAGGAGCATGAGGGTAAGTGATGTAGGCTGGCAAAGGGGCAAGAATAACGAGTAGACCACATGCATCTCTCTGACCTGTGTATATATATACACAAGATGTTTTAATGTTAGATTTTTTAACTTGAATCATATATACTAATATTAATTGACCTAGAGAACTGATTTGCTACTGTCGCTAAGCTGGTAGTGACAAAAACATAAATATCCAATTCAAAACCCACACATCTGAAAGTTAGGAAGCAACGTTTCAGTTCGTCCTCGACCATTATCAAGTTGAAATTTAAATAAGTTTATTGAGGTAAAATACACACAAAGGGATGAGGTAGCTCAAGCTATTCTCACCCTGTTCAGTGCAACGTGTTAATACATACATATAAACACATCACAAACAATAAACATTACCAAACATTGTGAGAGATAAACATCTACATTTCCTATTATCAAGTTGTACTGTACTCTTGTTCTATTACACAACAGACTAACAATAAATAAGGTGAGAAGCATATAATAGGAATATGAAAGGTAAGACAAAGGGTTAGAAATAAAAAAAAAAAATAGAATAAGGGAATTAGGAAAAAACAGAGCAAAGGTTAGAAGAGAAGGAATACAAAAATAGGAAGAGGTATGAACAAGAATATTTTGAAAAATATGAAGGTAAAAATTAAGAAAAAGAAACTGCATAAGGCCAAATGGCAAAGAGAAATAATCTAGTAACATAAGAGAGAGAGCCTAGAGGAGGGCAAAGCTCAAGTCAGATCACTTTTGCTCGTGCCTACGTGTAGTCTGTGGGAGGAAGCCAGGGGGTCATTGCTGCAGAAATGGAAAAGGATTTGTTGGTGACTAGGGAAAAGGGAAATAGAACAGGTATGCAATGGGAGAGGAAACGAGTGTAGTTGGAGGAACTTGGCCATGAGAAGGAAGGGAAAGGGTTACAATGACAGGAATGTGGGAAAGATGAAGGTACAATAAAGCTTCAGTGTGGACTGGGACAGAATGCATATTAGTGTGTGATAGGATGGGAACAGGAGTGGTGGTAGCAGTTGTGGAAAGCTGGGCAAGAAGTGGCAGTGGTGACATCATGGATTGATAAGCTTTTCAATGGGGAGTTGTCTTAGGGATGAGGTAAAAAGGGTCAAAATAATAGGTGGTGGTTAGTGGGAGAGGGGTCAGTTGAATGGATTGAAATAGGGTTTGAGATATGAAAAAGTAATTGATGGAAATAGTGGATTAGGATTTAATTGGGGGTGGTGGTGGGAGACCAGCCCATTCTCTCAATGTTTTGCCTAACTGGAAACGATTGATCTCAAGCAACCCATCAAACCTTGAGGGCGATTCAGAGGAAACAATTGCAGGTTTTAATTTTTACCAATGTGTTGCATTTTAACTGACTGGTCAATTATATAAAATAGTAAGACATATTAAGCATGACAGTGGCTTGGGGATGTGGCAATTGAAGGTAACAATACTATGTAGTTGAAGGGAAGAGAACTATGAGGAGGAAGGGCCAAGCCATTAGATTATATAGCACTGGGAAGGGGTCAGGATAAGGAATTGGGATGGGACGGGGGGAAAGGAACGGTGCCCAACCACTTGGACGGTTGAGGATTGAATGCCGACCTGCATGAAGCGAGACCGTCGCTCTACCGTCCAGCCCAAGTGGTTGGGAACTATGTAGTTGAGATGAAGGCAGGGGTTTATAGAGTGAATGAATATTTTTTTTAACAGGTAAATTACCTTTTCCACACCAAAGGAAATTTTGGGTTTATTGCCAATTTTCCCCAGGGGGGGGGGGGGGTCAATCATGTTTTGGCTATCTAGAGAGCACTGTCGAGGCAGGTGACAAGTACAGAACAATATGTACATGTTCAACAAAAATACTGTACATAATGAAACTTACCTTAAAATTGCCTCTTTCCACTGGTAACATCAAGTTCTTAAGTACTGTCTGCATTTTAACTTCCTTTAATCTATAAAATAAAAGTACATTAAAAAAGGCTTCACACAACTGTATTATTAATTTTTCAATTATTAAGTTTAATTGGGATCAAGCTCGCAGGATTAAATAAAACTATTCATACTCAATAATTGATTTTAGCTCATATATGTTGGCAAAATGTTTTATATTTTCCTCAAGCTCTGATGCTTCATTAATCTAATTAAAGTTATTAATACTGAACAAGTTATTTTTTAATTTCTCCATCCATATTCTTACGAACCATCCTAACAATCATGTTGTTTACATAAATGTGGTACACTGTGAGGCCATTTCTAACCTGTTAGCCCTCTCCCCCCCCCCCCCAAGTGCAGCCCTTTCTTACAATTTGCTAAGCATTAAATTTGTAGTGGTTGTCCTAGCAGAAGCATTTGTCTCTAGGCAAGTCACCTAACCCTTCAAGGTAGATGCTCATTAATCCACGAGAGCGCTTAATATTATTTCACTAAAGCATCCAAATTTTGATGTAGAGGTCGACAGCATCAAAATTATTATTTTAAATTTTTGCAAAATTCAAAACAATAACGGTGTCAAATTTCTTGCAAAATTTTACTTGGTGTACAATGTTTGCCTTGGAATGCATCTGTTGACACTTGTATGGGTCAAGTGAGCGTGTGGTTCTGGTGGGCGCGGCACGCTCAGTTTACCAGTGTCTCCCGCCTAGTGACGACTGAGCCCAAATTCTTTGTAAAGAAATTCATTATTTTTCTGCTTTTTTGGTTTCTGAACAGTAAAGTTCTTATTATATATCATGCCATGGGTGCCAAGAAAGTCAGTGGTAAAGTTCAACCTAGGAAAATAGTTGTGATGATGATGCTAGAGGAAAAACAAAGAGATCATTCATAGTGAATAAATATGATGTCTCACTACAGGCAAGTGTTAAAACGTAGGGAAAAGCAAGTGTCGTTAGACAGATTCTTAGTAAGACAAGCAAGAAGTGAGCCACATCCGGGTCCTAGAGGTATGCCTGTAAAACATAGGAGAGAGAGTACCCCAGAAATGTCATCACTGCCTGATGGTAAATGGAAGGGGACTCCCCTTCCAAACACTAACACCCATCCTCCTCACCATCTTCCATACACCAACAAGAGTCCTCAATAAAGGTAAAAATATACTGTAGTACAACATATGAGTACTATTCTGTATAAAATGTTTTTTTAAGTTAATGTTTTTGAGTGTACAGAACGGATTAATTCAATTTACACTATTTCTTATGGGAAAATTTGTTTCGGTTTATGAACCGTCTCTTGGAACGGATTAAATTCGTAAACGAAGGTGTACCACTGTACTTGTAAACTTAACTATTTATGGGGTGACCTACAATTTTTGAAAATGAAGGTGACCTGTATGAAAGTCTGAAATTAATGGTCACACACAGACAATATAGTTCATCTATTTGCATCTGATAATTACATGAAAAACTTATTTATCTTTTTTGTGTCTATAAAAATATAAACAATAAGCTCAGATTTATGTAGCTACTTACATAATTTGGTGCTGCTCAAGCATTTGAATATATGGTGCTTCAGCTGGAGCAAGGAAAGCTATGGCTGACCCTGCAGCATTGACACGAGCTGTTCGGCCGACACGATGAACATAATCTGCTGCTGTGCAAGCTGCATTGAACTGCACAATCCATCGAACTTTTGGCATATCTAAGCCTCGTGATGCTACATCCTGTTGGAACGATCTACATTATTTGATGGCCAGATAAACAATTACAGTATATACAGCGTGTGTCCATATTGTGCTTGAGGGGGTTCTAACAGAATACTTCCACACATATGCAGGCGATCACTCACAATAACGTGGCTAAAGTAAGTTGACCAGACCACACACTAGAAGTTGAAGGGACGACGACGTTTCGGTCCGTCCTGGACCACTCTCAAGTCCATTGTGACACTTTTTTTTACACAATCGACTTGAGAATGGTCCAGGACAGACTGAAACGTCGTCGTCCCTTCACCTTCTAGTGTGTGGTCTGGTCAACTTCTACACATAGTAAAAAAACATTAATTGGTTTAGTGTGTAAAATTTGCCAGAAGACGTGTGATAATATTACTGTGCCAGAGGCATGAAAAACAATTATATTACAGTAAACATACTGTGTAAAAATTAGAGGTACCAGTTTTCTAAGAGTAGATGTCAGCGTTAGGTAGGATAGTGATCGGAAATGTACAGAACATTACAGAGAATTGCATGTGATTAACAAGATGTGTAGTGTACAAATATATATATATATATACAGTAGACCGAGACAGTTCGTCATGAAATTCTACAAGAAAAATGTATACAGTACCGTATACAGTAAATGGTATTTATGGAACCTGAAAAAGCATAAGCCTAAGTTAATAGAGTGATTTTAGAGTGATGGTCATGAATGGAGTTGGCCGAGTTTTGTTGAATGTGAAAAAGTTCAAAGAAGTGTTATGAGTGATGAGTAACATTCCAGAGATTGGCCACAGAGTTGGTGTCAGATATAAGAGGGCTAGAAAATGTGTACACTTACACACACATATATACTGTACCTTACAACACCATAGAGAAAAACCAGAGGAAACAAACATAATTAAACTGAAACTAAACCGAAGGAATACAACAGACTGTTTATAGATGGAAGTACAATATGAGGGTTCCGGGAAAGTGGAGACACGGGTGACTAAGGGACACAAGGAAGCATTCCTTTAGGGTATGAAGTCAACAACTTAAACTACTATTTCAAAGGTGACAAATAAATTTTAGTCTTTACAAACAAAACTCAGTTACAACTTACTGTGCACATTAAGACCCCAGCTGTTGCTTGTCTAAACGATTTAAAAACAGCTGACCTGTCCTGTAATATAGCAAATCTTATTAATAAATCTTGAAAAATATAAACTTTTTCATTTTCATAGTTTCTTAAAATTTGCAGACTTGTCAATTGATTGTAACTACAGTAGTTTTAAAAGTTCTGACTATTACATCTACTGAGATTTTTAAACATGGTTTTACAATACAATATTAGATTATTTTTACTTAATATTCATCTAGTTATTTTCCAAGGTTAAAGTTTATTAGCAGAATACATGTGAAGCTCTTCAGACAAGGCATCTCGACTCAAAACTAAAAACTGTGCGGGACGTTACACTCCACCTGTTGAGTCATGTTCCCATGCAGCTTCTGGAAGAGAATAACATCGTCGTCGTCGTCCCCATCTTCAGGCTCCTCTTCCACGTCCTCTTCATCTTCACTTCCTTCACCAACATCGGCTTCACCAGCCAAAACTTTTTCTGCCCTTCTGGCTAGTGAAGACTTAGTGTTGCTTGCTTTCCCATACCTGGAAAAAAAATTCAAATGAATATGAAATTCTTGTTCACTTTAAATGAAACCTCCTAAATGGTTTCAATAATATGGAATTCATTTTTTAAATGATGGTTTGGCAAGTTGTACCTCCATACGTAACAGATTATTACTAGATATATAGATTTCTGTTGGTTTATTCAGTTTCCTGCAACTGTTACCCGTTTTCAAGCTAAGTGCATTCTTTTTAACTACATAATTTATAATGGAAAAGTCGCTACCTGTGTTTTATTTAATCTACAAAACGTTCATACAACATAACTTACTACAAATTCACCTAAAATGCAGCACTGTGGCATATAATAAAAGTGTCAACTGCCCAAGCATGCATGGTCCTTCACTACCAAAACAATTAAAAAACACAAAATTGTACTGACAAGCTCCGCTACAGCACCTTGCCCATTGCTCTCAAGAGCTCAATGCTGCGTGGTACCCAAGAAACAAGCCACTGAACATGGGGGTGGCCGATGCTGGGTTTCAACTATGGCCCCATCTTATCTAGTGATGATTTCGGGGCTTAGCGTCCCCGCGGCCCGGTCCTCGACCAGGCCTCCTTTTTGTTATACACCTCCCCGCCAGGAAGCAGCCCGTAACAGCTGTCTAACTCCCAGGTACCTATTTACTGCTAGGTAACAAGGGTATGAGGGTGAAAGAAACATTTTGCCCATTTGTCTCCGCCTTCACCGAGGATCGAACCCGGAATCTCAGGACTACGAATCTTAAGTGCTGTCCACCCAGCTGTCAGGCGGGCCCATGAATGAAAAACTGACAAACCAAACTACCTGGCACTGTTATATCTAAACTTAGTTTTAAGTGGTTTTCATGATACAAACCCCAAAAAATGGTTTTTGGTCAACAGAATTTTGGATCTATGAGTGTGCTTATCAAAGCTCTTATAGGCATATTGTATAGTAGTGCTCAAAGAAAAGTTAGAATAAAGTATAATATATTGTACACTACAGTGGTGAAATTCTATAAAAATGGGTAAAAATTATGAGACAGCCAAAAGCCAGGGCTATTCTCTTGGCACGTGCCACTATGTCAACTTTCATATCTTACAATCTTGGCAAGTTTTACATCTATTGTATATACTCCCTTGTGGTGCCATTTTATGATTTCACTGAACTCACACTGCAGGTTTTCTAAAATGTTAAAACACATTTTCTTCAATTTACAAACAAAAATATTGGCTTAAGTGGCCAATGAATGGTAACTTTACTGTAACAAGTACAGGGCTGGGGGGGGGGGGTGAAATTATTACAAGCTACTGTAATATCATAATGAGAACATGTAATGACTACAGGTTGGTATAGTGAGTATATAATAAGCACAAGATGGTGGTGGTGATTATTTTTAAAGTGTGGGAGGCTAGGGAGGAAGATGTAGTGATGGCAAATGTAGCAGACACACACACACACCAAAATGTCATCATTCCTTCATTTTCAGATGTGTGGGATGGATATCATGTTAAGGGGCCAGGACCCACAAAATATTTGTCCTAATATGAAATATAGTGGAAAAAAATTTAAACAAATCTCACGTTATTTGGCATCAGCGTCATGAAAATTTCATCCCAACGTGTTAAGAAATGGATTTTATACAAATTTAAAAAAGGAGGAAGATGGGGGAGGTAGTATTACCAGTGGAGGAAGAGGGGCTACAAGAGGACGGAAAGATGCATGCACCTCACCTCAAAACAAACACCTGTCGCATCTCTTTGTAAAAAAAAATTAAATGAATGTAGCAAACATTCAACAAAGCTGCTTGAATTGCAACCAATACAACCAACTGTGAAAGCAGGCAAGAATGAGTGTGTGCACAGTATTATAATTTGTCACATAATAAAAATGGAAAATAAATATGACAATTTATTGTCACCTTTTACAAATATTGGTAAATACACGTTTCCTCGAGGCAAGCCACAACGAGACACACAAGGTCTTACCTGGACAATACCTGGGCAAACAAAGCTGTATGATAGTCTACCATGTCTTGAGTTGCAAAGAACACAATCATCTTCCTCTCATCCCCAAACTATCGGAAAAGCAAAAATATAAATTACAAAAAATATATAATGCCCATTTACCAAAAATGGTAAATTTTGTATTCACTATTCTAGGATTATTAAACTAAAACAAAAATTGTATACACTGATAGCACTTTTGGACCAGATTTCAAGATTTTCAAGTAGTGAAATTATCTTTTTTTCTTTTTTTTTTACTGTACTGGACTTGTATTGTAAAATTAAAAAATCACTAATACTAAAGTTTACAGTGTTAACAAATGGTGAACTAACCTTACACTTTGACAAAATAAATGCAGATAAAGTGACTAGTCGAAGTTTGGCTGGAACCATGATATAATGGTGGGAGAGATTTTCTGGTGTAGCCAGGGCTTCTGAGGTAAGCTGTTGGCTCGCCTCTCCATCGTGGCTAATATCAATCACTTCGGGCGACAACAGACTCATACCTAAGACATTGAAATACTGCACATTAGCTTCATCATGATTAAAAAAGTTCAGGAAAGAAAAAAATTGTCAGAGGCTTATTATTATTAACATTGTTTAAAATATACATTTTCATTATCCCGTGCAGTCCAATGTTGAAAATTAAAGTTCAATACTATTAATGATAGTAATGCCAATGATAAGAGCTTTGGCAGTAAACTAAACTAAACTGCAATAGACGGGAGACATCTCCCGTCACGCAGGGTGCAGTCGCACCTCCACAGATCTCCAGTATCAGCTCTTGATACTGGTAATGGCTCAAAAGGGCCACCACTTACAGGCTATTCATGCCCGTGCCACCTTTTGGGTGGCTTAATCTTTATCAATCTTTATCAACTGCAATAGGCATGTTGGCCTGTAGAAGGCAGCTACTATTTACACCCACATACATCCATCATATTTATGTTTAACCTACACTTGAAACCATCAAACTAACCCCACATCTATTGCATTACCCAGTAATTTGTTCCACAGTTCAACTAAACTTGTGCATTTACTAAATTACATTCTTAATTTTGACTCCCAAACCTCCTGATAATTGTCCAGCACCCAAGAAACAAAAGGCAATGTCAACGCTAGAAACAAAACTTGAAATTATCAATCACCACGAGTGTGGTGCCTCTGCCATCTTTCTTAGTTATCTGTATAATTTTAAAGAATTACTATAACACATCACCCATGAATTAAATTTTTCTACATCACTGATAGGCATTATACTTTTATATGTGTGTACAATTATGGCAAGGAGGAGGCAAAATACACTCGTATTATTGCCATTTTGTGCACATTTACTGTTTATATTTTGAAACATTGAGAAATAATTAGACAACTGTATAGGTGTCTGAAATGAAACCTTTTTTATTTTTTTCCATACCAGAGATATCTTTATATCCAATTTCAATACCATTTTCTCAATGCGTCCCTTACATTCACAAACCTATCGTACACACATTTTTATTTTGTACCGAAATTTGACAGAACATTAACATTATCATCGGCAGAAACATGGCGGTCTCACCTGCAAGCTTCTCTACCCCAGCCGACAATGTGGCGGAGAGCATTATAGTCTGCCTTGACTTTGACAGCCCTGCTTGCTGCTCTGTCAACGTTTCCAGGATGCTGATAAAGGAAGATTTTGTTAGCTATATTAACAAGATTAAACAAAGAATTACTTTGACATTTTTTTTTTACTTAACTCTTTGGTAGTTTGTGAATAAAGATAATATTTTGCACAACTGCAAGTACTACTATAAAAACCAAACAGTAAAGAAATTCACCATGAGACACGTATGATCAATATGTAGCGAGTAGATTATCCCAATAATATACTCGCTCCAAATGCATTGTTAATATTCCTGTCAACCTTTGGAGATGAATGAGGTGAGGCGTTGCCCGGGCAACACGGTGAGGTGTTGCCCGAGCATATAAGCAGCAGAATAGCAAACATTAACTAGTCTACTTTCAAGTGTGGTCTAGAGCAGACACTTGCGAGATACTGTACCGACTCTCAGTGCGCTCAACTCACACCAAAGTATCACCTGTGTACTTCTGTATATTCGACCAAATATATATATAGTATCTTAGTGTCTGTGTTTATCGTCACCATACTTTACGTAACAATAGAACCGTTACAAATACAAGCACAACAGTAAGTAAACCTGCCTATAAACAAAATCAACAATTAAAACTAGATAATTAAGACAAGCACAAATTCATACAAATATTTATAGTACTTATGTAAAAGTACTTATGTATGGGTGTTTACAAAAAAAAAAAAAAAAAAAACCACCCATATACAAGTATCAAGACCATGCATATCTGGAATTCTCCAATACCTGACTTCTCAAAACTGCATGTACGGCATTTCTTAAAAAACTGGCCATTAAAATGCAAAGTCAAGGACCAACAATGACTGTGAGCAAACCACAAAGTGCTGCAACAATCGCCACGCTCGCTCATACAGGATACAGAACAAACTCACAAATGGGAAATATGGTGGTACAGTACAACATTCTATTCCACTTGCGTATTTAATTATGATTACAAGAATAGCCCTTATAAAGATTTTATAAAATCCAGTGGCATCTGGATGTACACATTAAAATATCAGCAATGGCCCTTGTGGATTTGTTCATTTGAGGCATCACGCTATTGTGATTTTTGTGTGTAATCAAGCTGAATTGTTAAGAGCACAAAAATCAGGAAAGAAAAATATGTACTTTTCTCACCTTGTGATACTCCTCTCATAACCCATGTCAAGTAATCTGTCGGCCTCGTCCAGCACCAGGTACTTGACACTTGACAAGCTAAGGGATTTTGTATGATGCAAGTGGTCTATTAAACGACCAGGCGTGGCAACAAGAATGTTGATTCCCTTACGTAGTCGAGCCTTCTCCGCTTTCTTCTTTTCTCCTCCTATCAGGTACCCAGGTACCACCCACACGCATGACTGACGAATGATGAATTTAATTTATTATTAAATATATTTAGCCGTTAATATGAAAATAACACACGAACAAAGGCATTATATATATATATATAACAATATAGTAGTGTATGTCACAAAACAAAATATATTATCGATATTGTAGTGTACATTCACGCAGACTAACACATTCTAAGGAGGCCAACAAATTACGTTTTCCACAACTACATTCTTTCTAGTCAGAGAAGCCAGACTCAAGAGCTAAAACAACCCAGAAATTCAGAGAAAAGTCGAATCCACTAATGAGAACACAAGCTTTATGGGAAGGGGAAAACAGGCTTCCTCCTAAGCAAAAAAGGCTTGTAGAAAGAAAAGGGAAGCGAGGAATGTTTGACAGTATAGCGGTAAGTGGTGCTCTCGGTGATGACCTGCCAAACACAAATCATGATGGGAGGGGGAGGGAGTGGATGGAGGAATGGGGGGGGGAAGGGGAGTAACAAGAGCCTAACAGGTAATACAAATTCTGGATGGATGACAAAGGCTAGCTATGGGAGCATCAGAGCAGCCTTAGCTTACACGGCAAAACAAATATTATACTTCTAACATCAATAAACCGATAATAGACACTGTCCTGGTTTACATAATATTTTATCTGTAAACCTTTATCTATATTTAGTAATGAAAATAAGAGTACCGTGCAGTATTACTGTGAGGGCTCTCCTTTCACTCCGTGAACTACCATGGCTTGCGGAGTCATGGAGGGGACCCACTAACAACACTTCACAACATTCAATGCTGGATTTATCAAGTGATGGGAAGAATTTACTTGAGAGCCATCATTCATCTACTTGCCTCAACAGGGACAAGAAGCCAACAACTTGTCAAAGTTCCATCAATTTCCCTATGAATTTCTTCAAACTAGATTTTGACGATACAAATAAAATGACGTGTGCGCGCTTACATTCATAACCAACTGTATTGTTGACGGGACAACACGAGTGTACAGTACAAGTCTGTACATCTCTTGTAATATTAGCAAATAAAATACAAAATATTGGTGGTTTTAACTGTACCTTGCATAATTTTTCAAACCATTGATAACTCTGCTGCGCCAGCTCTCTTGTAGGAACGATGATTAAAGCAATGACACCGTCACTCCTCTGAATGTGTGGAGTTTGCTGTTTGGGAAAATATACTGATCAATTCCAAATATAAATGATACTACACTTTATAATATATAAAAAAAAAAGGCCAAAGAAAACTAGACTACATGTGTAATTCTCAGCTTTTGTTCATTTAAATTTCCTTATACTGTACTGTTATGTATATAGAAATTTATACGTTATGTATAATGTGTTCTGTATAAAGTTCTCATTATGTATACTTTTCGTCAAACATAAAATGGATCTTGACATCAATAGGTACAGTAGACTACTATTGAATGTCTACAAATATCACTTCTTAAAATGACTTCAGTATATACAACATAACTGTTTCAAATACAATCCTTCTTGAAACCCTCGAAAGAAAATAAACTTTTCAAAATTGCATCTGTAAATGTTATAAGCATCTCCTACAGCTGATGTACAAACTGTCGTAACCAGAGGTCAGACAGTTGTTGATTATCACACACTGATCTAATAAAGTGTGCACCTACTGTACCTTAGATTACACTATGAGCAGTGTTTCTCAAAAGACTGGACTTGGCCCCAAGGGAGCACTTTAAAGTCTTAAGAGGAATTGGTGAGGAATGGAGAAATGAGGATGATGAATTATTTGCAAGTAATGTAAATAATTAGGGTGAAAGAAACTTTTTTTTATCGAACCTTTTGAAGGGGGTAGGATTTTAAAGAGCCTAAGAGGGACTACTTAATGAGAAATACATTCTAGGACTGAGACTCAGTGTTCTAAAAGACACTAACCCTTATAAGGCTCAAAGCACTATCTGCAATTACCTCTTGTGCTCCAACCACAATATGTGCTTTTTAACACCTGATTACACCGTGATGTAGAGCTTTTATACAATAGCCGAGCTGTCTAAGGGTCACAGTAAGGTAATTATCAGGAGAAAGCACCAAGCCATTAAGCTATATAGCACTTGGGAAAGATACGAGGATAAATATTTGGGAGAAGACGGAGGAAAGGAATGGTGCCCCACACTTGGTCAGCAATTGAACGCTGATCTAAGGGGTAATTTACTTAATAATTCTACAAGTTATAGAAATGATATAGAGAGACAGTATAGTATTGTAATTGAAATATTAATGTACTTAAATGCCAATGTCAAAATGAAGAACCTGCTGTAAAATAACCCCCATAGACATACGAGAAGCATCACTCACCACCATGAGGTTGTGGATGATGGGTAGAGCATATGTCAAGGTCTTCCCTGAGCCAGTCTGAGACTTAACCAGTGCATCTTTCCCTTCCAGAATGGGTGGGATGCTTTTTTGCTGCACCATTGTCATCGATGTAAAGCCAAGTTTTTCAACATTTGACGTCTGAAACATGGTAATAATAATAATGTTACTGATAAAAACATAAGGTAACATAATAAGGTTGTTATAATAAAGTAACATATCATTAACCCCTGCACTGCGCACCTGCTTTTGACAAAAACTTCAAAGTGCAATTGTTAAGGACATATTTTTGTTGTTTTAATAAATTTTCAGGTAAAGTTAATGTCTAAATGTTTCCAAACTCAACTATTTTCATTTCAAAACACAAAGGTCAATGAAAACATTAAAGAACATTAAAATATAGCCTAATAAAAAGCACAATTCTCAGAATGACTTTTGTTGGCTGGCACACTTAAGGGGTTACAAGTGAATTTCTTGCTAAATTTTTAGATGATACAGAGCAAAAATCATACAAATATACACCATCTTGAGATAAGGTATGAAATTATTAAAAACAATATAAACAAAGAAATTGTATAAAAAAAAAACTTGAGTAAATACAGTAGTCAATAATATTTTCAATGAGCAAAGCATCTCCCAAAATAAGTGAGCTAATTTGTTATATTTTATCTGTTATGACACGAGTATTGACACAGGAATAGTCTTAAGCACTGAATGCAATGTGAATGTCGGCCGAGCGGACAGCACACTGGACTTGTGATCCTGTGGGCCCGGGTTCGATCCGGGCGCCGGCGAGAAACAATGGGCAAAGTTTCTTTCACCCTATGCCCCTGTTACCTAGCAGTAAAATAGGTACCTGGGTGTTAGTCAGCTGTCACGGGCTGCTTCCTGGGGGTGGAGGCCTGGTCAAGGACCGGGCCGTGGGGACACTAAAGCCCCGAAATCATCTCAAGATAACCTCAAGAATGACATTGTATGTCATACTGTGGTCGGTGGATAATGGTGTTTAACAAGGTGATAAGCAAATCAATTGAACTTCATTGAAGATTATAAATAGACACACATGTACATGTATATGTGAATGTTGTTATAATTCAGTACCTATGTGAAGATGAAGGATACTGAACGAGATATTGAATAATATTACAATTCAAAATAATTCCATAGCTTTGATTTGATTATTATTGTTTGCATTACTGTACTAAACCTTCCATGAAATTATATCACTTACTAGTGGTAAAATTTATTGTGCCGAGGGACAGGAAGACAGTGTGTGTTCATACACATTTGGCTTATATCAAGGTCACCCCCCCCCCTCAGATTGAATTACTGACCCCTGCACAGGATGCATGCAACCCCATAACAAGCTGACTAACTCCTGAGTACCTACTTAGTGCTAGGTGAACAGGTACATTAGGTGATAGGAAATGCATCCAACCATTTCTGTACTGCCCGGGATTCGAATCCCCAGAATTCACGATTGTGACTCGAGAACGAACCCGACTGAACTACCGGGCCCTTTTTGTAAATGTGATTAGATTTATATGGAATGCTTCAAATCTTCAAATTCACAATCTCCCAAAAAAATAAGGCATTATCAGGATGCATAAATTTTCGGGGTGACAATAGGGCACATAACAAGACTTTCGGATATCCCGAAACTTGGGATATCCAGTTACATCAAGTGTTAACCAGGCATGTTATGGTGCTCAACCTGATTGCCACTACATTAGCACCCATACTTCTTTAATAATACTAAGTGTACACAAACACAATACTCACAATATGCGGTGTAATATTCAAACATGAAAAAGAATCCTCGGAAAACACTTTTTCCGATATTCTCTCCACGTTAGACTTGGGAATGTAAGGGATATCAGGGTTCCCAGTGAAGAGAGAAGTAAAGATTTCTCGCTTGTCTTCATTTGTATCGTCTTGCTTTTCATCATATACTCGAGGCCTGTCGGTACTGGAAACGTTACCGGTTCCAGTAACGTTACTGGTCACCGGTTTACTGGTTAACGTTACGAGATGCTGTACAGAACGTCTCTCTTTCTCCTCAACTGGGTCAATCTTCGCTCGCTTTTTAGGCGGGCCAATGAGGAGGTATTCTTTCCTTTTCCTATGGTACTCGCTGAAGTAGTCCTGCAAATATTTAAGAAGGGAACATTATAGAAATTGCCCGAACCCGAAACGCTATGCGTACTAGTGGCTTTAGGTATTGTATGTACTACCTCTATAAATCTAACAGGATGTTTGTACTGTAACGCTGCAACTATGTATGTACTGTTCCTAAATAAATTATTATTATAAATAGCTGCACAACAAAATACTTTACTACTGGCAAAACCACAGGAGGATATTATTGATGTATAATTTACACAAATGTTAATTTTGACATTTATGAAAGAATAAAAGTAATAAAAGTGCGGTGCCCTCGTGTGGCATAGCATTATAGTCACTAGTAGTTATAGTCACAGTAGTTTCAAAGCGTTATATGACAAAGAGTGCTGGGAAGACGGGACACCACGAGTGTAGCTCTCATCCTGTAACTACACTAGGGTAATTACACTTAGGTAATTACCCCGACCATTGGGGTCAACCCTTCACATGCCCTGGCCCTTACGCCCTGCCACAATTGAACAAAAATAAAAACTTTGGCCACGAATTTCACCGTCGCCTTGTCTATACACCGTATCTTGTCACCGTATATACAGTTTGTGTGTAATTGAACTTTCAACAGTCGAAAATAAGTCAATATTGCGGGTACCCATCAGGGCCTGTGACGTCATTAGTGTAGTTAGGTCTAGTGTGCCCTTCACTGACAAGAGTCCAGACTATACTTATAATAGGTTAAATACTCACTAATTTAGGGGCATCTCTGTCCCTGATGTTGAGTGTGAGGGGCAGGGGCGGCGTGGTGGTGGTCTCCATCACCACCATGTTGGCTCGGGACACCCTCGGCTTCGTACACCTTCCTTCACAAACACGTGTGTATATACACCAATTCTTTCGTACACACACATGCGCTGGCGCGTGTTCGCTGCCACTCTGGTGACACAAAACCAGACAATAGCTTTTTTAGCTACCTCATCCCTTTGTGTGTATTTTACCTCAATAAACTTATTTCAATTTCAATTTCAATTTCAATAGCTTTTTTTTATTAATTATTTATTTATTTATATATACAAGAGTTCTTGTATTTTTCTACAGGCTCTTGTATGCGTAGCGTTTCGGGCAGGTCCTTATCCTGTTCCCTGGAATACAAGTTGATAATAAGAATGTGAATAAATACATGGTACTTGTATTTATTCAAATCAAATCAAATGTTTATTCAGGTAAAAGTACATACATAGAGGATTAGATCCAAACATAATGTTGATTTATAGATAGAGCTACATAGTACATACAATACCTAAAGCCACTAGTACGCATAGCGTTTCGGGCAACGCTATTATATTGTACCATATAATTAGCACATGTCTTCAGATAATATGTAAGTTAGGTTCTTTTAATATATCCTTATACAATTTAAGCAACACATTAAGGAACCAACGCGGGAAAAATATATTTGCAGCACCGTCGGGCAGAATCTTTGAGTCTTTTTTTTCCTCGGCCCTCAAATGAACACTGGTCGAAAAGCTGGGTGTTACCTCGGTTGTCAAAGTGCTTTATGACTTGTGTTGTCCGAGCATATAAGCAGCAGAATAGCAAACATTAACTCACAGGAGACATCTCCCGTCACGCAGGGTGCAGTCGCACCTCCACAGATCTCCAGTATCAGCTCTTGATACTGGTAATACCGGCTCAAAAGGGCCGCCACTTACGGGCTATTCATGCCCGTGCCACCTTTTGGGTGGCTTAATCTCCATCAATCAATCAATCAAACATTAACTAGTCTACTTTCAAGTGTGGTATAGAGCAGACACTTGCGAGATACTGTACCGACGCTCAGTGCGCTCAACTCACACCAAAGTATCACCTGTGTACTTCTGTATATTCGACCAAATATATATATAGTATCTTAGTGTCTGTGTTTATTTGTCACCATACTTTACGTAACAATAGAACCGTTACAACTTCCAATTCGTGGACACGACCTACAGCAAGTGGAAGGAAGATTTGCAGGTGTTCTTCTCCCTCTGTGCACGTCTGGGCATCCCACTCACTCGCCACAAAACTTGGCTTCGAGTTAAACGCGAGACGCATGCAAACAAGACTGCCTGAAGACAAGCTGAGAAAGTATGTGCTCGCGGTTGACAAGGCACGCTGTGGTACCAGCCTCGCACTACGGGACTTGCAAGGTTTGATTCGCAAATTGCAATTCACCACTGCAGTTATCCAGAGGGGACAGGCTTTCCTACGCCGCCTCCACCCGCTCACAAACGGAGAGCGTCACCACTCATGTCCCTGTCGCCTGTAGGCCTAGGCCACTTTCTGGCGATAATGCAATGGAGTAACGATCTTTCCCCGGCAGGAGGATGGCAGTACGCCCACTCGGTAACAATGATCGCCGATGCCTCATCACATGGCTATGGCCTCACGCTGGGGGCAGCTTGGTTTCGGGGAAGGTGGCCTCCTTCCTGGTCGCCTCTCAATATTGCCCTATTGGAGCTCTTCCCCTTTTACGTGGACCTGGCCCCTCTTCGTACTGGTCTGTAAATCGGATAACGGGGCGGTCGTGCACGTGCTTTCCTCTCTCACGGAAAAATGTCCACTCCTCATGCAGGTCGTTAGGCCCTGGCCGTTCTTGTACTAACTCATAACAAAACTCCTGCCTTCCCACCTCCCAGGCAACTTAAGAGTTTGGGGTGCACTCTCACGCCTACAGGTACTGCCGCCCAAGCTGCCCAGCGACGCAGGACTCACAGCGGAACCTGCCGCGGTACCACCAAGCCTGATGCCCTGCAACTTCTCCCTACAACAGTGAAGACGATTCTCAACTCACTTCAACCATCAACTAGGCGGGCCTACCAACATAAGTGGAATGAATACGCGGCGGGGTGCGGGCATGGGGGGAAAACTCCTCTCTGTCCCATTACATGTGCTGGTCAACTTCCTGCAGTCCTTGGTCTCTCGGGGGCTAGCTTACCGTATTCTGTGGTCCTACATATACCTCTCGGCGATATCTTCATGCTCAAGCTGCAGGGAAGGAAAGACCCCTTTCGTTCTTTCCTGGTACTGCAACTATTCAAGGGAGCCTGGAACGCAGCACGGGCCACACACACTACTCCACTCACGCCCATCACGCGAAAACTCCTGCACAACCTAGCTGTTGGCCGCACTAGGAAGTTCCTGTAGCACTAGCTATGAGAAACACTATAGGGCGCTCTTCGCTTTAGCTTACCACGCTTGCCCTTCGTGTAAGGAAGGCTGTGTATACCGCAGGAGTGACCTCCTGCAGACACTCCGCCTGGAACCTACCTTGAGGTTACCTTGAGGTGCTTCCGGGGCTTAGCGTCCCCGCGGCCCGGTCGTCGACCAGGCCTCCTAATTGCCGGACTGATCAACCAGGCTGTTGGACGCGGCTGCTCGCAGCCTGACGTACGAGTCACAGCCTGGTTGATCCTTTGGAGGTGCTTATCCAGTTCTCTCTTGAACACTGTGAGGGGTCGGCCAGTTATGCCCCTTATGTGTAGTGGAAGCGTGTTGAACAGTCTCGGGCCTCTGATGTTGATAGTTCTCTCTTGAACACTGTGAGGGGTCGGCCAGTTATGCCCCTTATGTGTAGTGGAAGCGTGTTGAACAGTCTCGGACCTCTGATGTTGATAGAGTTCTCTCTCAGAGTACTAGTTGCACCTCTGTTTTTCAACGGGGGTATTCTGCACATCCTGCCATGTCTTCTGGTCTCATGTGATGTTATTTCTGTGTGCAGGTTTGGGACCAGCCCCTCTAATATTTTCCACGTGTAAATTATTATGTACCTCTCCCGCCTGCGCTCAAGGGAGTACAGTTTTAGGTTCTTTAGTCGGTCCCAATAGTTTAGATGTTTTACTGAGTGGATTCTAGCAGTAAAGGATCTCTGCACGCTCTCCAGTTCAGTAATTTCTCCAGCTTTGAAAGGTGCTGTCATTGTGCAGCAGTACTCCACTCTACTCTTCAACTTCAGCTTCTCGAGTAGTGCCATACTCACCTTCTCCTACAAGCACAGTGCAGGCAGGACGCCGGCCCTACTTCTGCGGGCCAACCCTCGGTGCACACAGTGCCCCGTGCGGGCCCTGCGGAAGTTAATCAAGAGATGGGGCACCCGCCCGGGGCCATTATTCGTGCACAGGGCTGGGAGCCTAGTCACAAGGTAAGATTTAGCTAGGCTGCTCCACACCTCACTTCGAGCACTCAACATTACGAAGGGAAATTACGCTCTGCACCCCTTTCGATTTGACTGGCTCTTCTCCATATGCAAGGCAACTACCCATCGCTGCTTGTTCTGTGATGGCAATCACTTCTCAGTTTCTTACCGCTGCCCCCGCAGACAGGAAAATATCAAGGCCCAGGTTGATGCCAAGAGAAACAACCCTAGTTCTACCACCAAGACCCGAGCCCTAGGCGCTCAACCCACATGATCAGAAGGCTTTTCATTCTTACCAAATAGTGGTTCCTCTCACAGGCGACCCAAGGCTCCTTCGCAGCCCCCTGCATCACGTGCATCCCTGGTCTTATTAGACTAGCGGAGAGGCTTGTCGGACCAGACAACCACTGACACACATAATGTGTCAGTGAACTGAACACATTATACATAGCTAATGGCCTGGACCCCATCATAGCACCTGGCGCAAGTCTCACTGCCTCTACTACTACTCCGGAGACGACCACGAGGTCGATTTCAACACTCCAGAACCGCCCATGACCCGGGCGGCACAAACAGGTATTTCCCTCTCCAGCTCCCAACACTCCTACCATCACCATCTCGGCAGCCGCGCTAGCAGACGTGCTGTCTATAAATGCTAACAGCACCACCAACCCTCCTGAAACGGTGTCTACCACCAATCAACGACACCTGAGCCTACTTTCGCTGCGAGGCGAAAGACGAAAACACCAACTACGGAGGCTACGGACTCCTCAGACGAGGAAATCTTAGTAGGAGCTCCACCGCCAAACCACAAATACGACACCTACTCGGTACAAAACCTCATCATGGAGGCCACCTCACCAAACTCCAACGACAGCACGGCCCAGCCAAAGTCTCAGGCAAAGAAAAACCGGAAGACCTACACTAACCCCACCAGCTCCCCAACTGATACAAAACCACCATGAAGAACCCCATCCATCCCCAGAGCTCTAGTATCAGCTATTGATACAAATAATGGCACCAAAGAGCCTCCACTTACGGGCTCACCATAGTCCTTGCTACTTGGAACTTTTGGTTCTGAGTAGCTGAATCTAAAACAACAGCCAGCCAGCAACAACGTACTGGGTGACAGCCTCCATTGTCTCAACAAGAGAAGAGGAACGAGAGCGACCAACAAGAAGACTGCTGGGAGGATGATGGACAACAGCCTGGACAGACAGGCGGCGTGGAGGGCCAAAAGACAGATGGGAGGGCTGGAAAGAAGGATCTGGGAAAGAAAGGAAAGGGGACACAGGAGATTGGGAAGGAAGGAAACACCAGACGGAGAACCAGGATTGATTGATAAAGATTAAGCCACCCCAAGAGGTGGCACGGGCATGAATAGCCCGTAATTAACCAGGAAGAAGACCTTCTGGTTAAGAACGTAACAGAGCAGGTGAGGTGGTGGTGGTGTTATAGACCAAGGCCTGGAAACGGATGGGAGACTGAGAAAGGAGGGGAGGGCGAGGAGAGGTGGAACGCAACACACGAGCATAATACATGCCAGCGAAAGAGGGACGATTACGGGCTCACCATAGCCCGTGCTACTTGGAACTTTTTTTCTGAGTAGCTGAATCTAAAACAACAACAACAACAGAGGGGAAACGTCTTTCTTTTTTCTAGGCGTCTTGACTCAGAAAAAGACAATCGATCGCGGTGTTTCAAATTGAGGATGACTTCCTCAAATGTGTAATAC